TTACCAATTATTACATCATTCCACCATCACCAATACTTATTGTTGCGCGACGCGTCACAATATCGTGTTCCTATCCCGATTGTTCCCACAACAGTATATAATTACCGTACAATGTACTGTATACCTTTAAACTAATTGCCGAAAAGTTATGGGTAATTCCTCTTTTATGTAAATGTATGACGTGTGAGATCTGCTTCTCCATTCATAATTTATTATTCCAGTTTAATAATTTAAAATTCTCTTTAATATATTGCCGCAAAGTCCTATTTCATATTCAATAACCGTTATACTGTATATTTGATCGTTTGGGAATCTGCACTATCTCGGACCTTTTTTTCATTATTAATCGCAAACACATAAATAAGCTCGGGTTTCATAATGAGTGATCGGAGGATGGAAGGTGGAATATGATTATTGATTACAGTAGGCATTTACCTTTGAAATAATGCACACCGTTCGATTAATGAACATTACTCTGAAAGCGATCTCCTAGTCACATGCTCATTCATAAGAAAATATTCTTATGGAATCGAAATATCTAAATATTGATTCCTTTTCTTTTTTGAATTGGAGTTTAGTTGTGTATATACTGTAAACAATATTAAACTAATTCCTCACTAATTAATCTACTGTATCTCATGTGATGACCAATACTTAGAACCAAATTAGTTGACAAATACACTCCGTTATTTTGCAAAAAAACCACCAACACTCGTGTCCTTGGCTTTCAATGGTAGTAAAGTAATTTTTAAAATCTACTTAATCCAATGTACGATGGTATCTGCTACTACTACAGCAAATAGTAATTTTTTCCGGTTAACGCGACTTAAATATAAAAATAAATATATGTGTCTATAAGATCATTATGTAGTAGTTATATTGAATAATGCTTCCATAAATATTTAAAGATATAAAATGATCCTTATCAATAAAGGTCTGCTCGACTTGTGACGGCCACCCGTAATCTTGAACTTTTTACTTTATAGTGCAGATCCCCCCCGTTTTGTTTGGAGATTAATTTGCATATATTTTAGATCAAAATTTATTAAACAAATTTAGTATTTTATCCGCAGAATCTAATGAAAATTTTTATTTAACCTCTTCATAGTTGATTATATAATTATTCTGTTAACTAAATGATTTCCTATTACAGTATCTTGAAGTAAATAAAATCACAAGTACATTATTATTTACAATGTACTGTAGTTACTTTTACAAAAAAAAAAGCATTCTAATAATGTTTCAAGAATACGACCGGAAATATTCGTATTAATTGCAAATCCGGTAAAAGAGTACATTGGAAGATTATTAATTTCTACTATGTGAGCAAACAAATCATCTGAAAAAACATTCTTAATATGGGAAATAAACTTGAAAGTGGAAAAATGCCGAATATAAATTTTCGGTCCCTGTTTTTAAACAATACTTGTGTAATGCAATATTCTTATTATAGTTATAGGGTCACCTTGATAGATGATTGCTATATAGAAATTCTAATTCTAAAGCTTATGAGGTTGGTCTGCGTAGTTTTTGTCAAAATAATTTTAATATATAAATTACGAAATTATAGTAGGCGCGAAAAATACCCACCCGATAAATATCTCTAATCTTCTAGGAGATATATTTTATTTTCTAACGTGATAACTTTCTGATCAACTGCGATGTCTAACAATCGGGAAAACTCTTTATCTTGTTTAAGCTGAAGATCTTTAATTTGTTGTTTTGAAAATTCCAAAAGATCTTCCGTAGTCATAAATTTCTAAAACAGATACAATATTATTAAATAAAAGGTGGCTCGTGAAAACGACAAAAACGATAAATTAAATTCATACATTAAATAATTTTTCTATAAAATTTTCGGTAGCCTTTTTTACCGATTCTGGCAATTTTCCATTTTCAAGCCGTTGTAAAAGTGGTTCAGCTGACTCAAAAATAGTACTATTCTGTTCGATTATTAAATTCATTGTATTAATATAGGATAGTGCAAGTTCTTTCCCGGCTTGCAGTTTGCTTTTTTTCATTTCTGTTATCAATTCAGCAATTTTGTGTTGATAATCCGCTTCGGATTTCCTGATTTCTAATGTGTGTCTGTTCTTGAATTCCTTGTCACGGAGATCCACATCCCGTTTACGAGCTTCATATTCCAGTTCCATTTTGCATCTTTTCTGCTCTATTATTTTATCCGCTGCATTACCCATCTTGGAATACAAAAATAAACAATACAGCCCAACTTGTATTTATAAATAAACGTAAGTCACGTTTTAAAAAAAAGATTCTCAATGCTGGCACTAAAAATGTGATGCATTCTTGATCAACAATGATGAAATTACGATAATAATGCGCACAAATATTATGTAATCACTGTCCATACTGGAATTCATGCAATCAACGATTATAACGCCAAAAAAGCCTGTCATTACCCTGAACCAGCATTTCAATAATCCCAGAATGCGCGTATATTTTGGTCAACTAAAATACAAATACAACACAACAAAAAATACGACTATATTTTTTTTATTTCTAACAATGCTATCCATTTTATTAATTATTAATTTATATTTATATTAGTTTAAATACGTGATAACATTCACTCACGTATCTCCGACTAAAAAAAATATCCCGAAACAATCGCAAGTCAAGATCGCGATCTCTAGCGACAACAAATGATTTGCAAAATTGATACAAAATCGTCTTTGGTAAAATAATAATAATAATAATCTACCAGATTAGAACAGGTCGAAAAGTTTAACTGAGGACAAAGAATATATTTCTGAAAAAAGTTGAGAAAACTTCACAGAGAATTATATGAACGTTTATTTACACTAGAACGAAATAAAATCATATTGTTATTTGCTCAAGTGTTTTTAAAATTTTTTAAATTCTCTATCGGCTGTTTATTAAGCATAAATATAAAGTAAATATTAAATAAGCAATAACACAACACATGTCGGTTATACTTTTTGTATAAGTATTATTGATAATAGTTTGTAATTATACTGTACATGTTCTAAATGATATCAAATATATAAAAGAATAATAAGTATTTATTAATGCATCAAACAATTAAAATAAAGGTTTTAATTAGTTAAATTCATGTCGAAGGCGTTCAAATTAATCTGAGTTATATATCAAATATATTTTAATGGTAAAATCAAATACACCTTGTACAATATCTTGCGTTATTTTCTTCTTATGCGATTGACCTGAGTTTATCGGTACATCATCAGATATAAGGAGCTTTTTTTTCTGATTCCTCTCTCTTATCTCATTACTGACCTTTTTCTTATATTTTGAATCCATGAATTCGTCAACCTCCTTATCTTCTGGCAATATGGGCGAAGAGTTGGCATTAATAGACTGGCTTATAATGGAATTAGGTGTATCAACACTTGTCTTCCTCGGGAGAAATCTCATTTTGTGACTTCCTGAAATCCTGTTCTAATTTCACAACTCTAGCTCTAAGGTCGACATTCTCAGCATCACCATTTTCTATTTTTCTCCAACTCCTCGATTCTGTTCTTAAGCTCAGCATTCTCTTCCATAGACCGCTTTAATTTCGTATTCTCAACCTTAATTCGGAATTCTCCTTTCTAAGTTCAGAAATCTCAGTCACAAGTTTAGAATTCAATTCCTTTAATGAATCGATTTTGGATTGGGTGTTCGATATTAATTTATATAAGGTGCAGATTTATTCAAAACCTTTTTATTATGTAGGCGCCAGCACATATGTGGTTTGCGAGGTTTAATTCTATAAAGTACTCTAAATCACGGTGTCCTTATTGCATAAATAAACACGAAAACTTATGTCGTGAAGTCATAACTGAAATTCTTGGACCTCCCTCTGACATTCGCAAACCATATTTCTTAAAAACATCAGGCAAACAACATGAGCGTAACTTAAAACACTTTCACAAAAATGGGGGGAGATTTCAAGAAACAATTAATACGTGATCAGCTCAAAAGGGGACTCTGCGATGAAAATTGGATCGTTCTTATCGAGGTATGGTATCACGAAGATCCACATGAAGAGTTAGGAATTATATGAATACAGTAGTACAAGTGATTGCACAAGATGGATTTTTCCGATTTTGATGAGTCATTGGCGAAAGTTAGGCCTTACGGTAAAGTAAATGTGTTTTTTGAATTTTTGAGTGCCTGAAAAAAAAACTAGGCTATTGACAGAATTGGGAAAAATAATTTTTGGGAATTACTAACCGAGTCATTTTTTTTAAAAAAAAAATCGCAAAGGTAGTTTTTTATTCATTCACAAAATATCTAAATTGCACAAAGCTAGCTAATTTGATAAATGATTACTTTGCTACATAATACAATGCTACCGTGAGTTCTATATGCATATAAGAATTTATTGTCCTTGATAACGAAAAATTGCTTGCTGAATACTAAATAAATCGATGACTACGTTCTCTGCAAGCGGATACGGTGGAGTACAACCTTCATAAACACATTCTGGCGCAATTGTTACAGTAAGCATTCCCTGGGCTAAGCAACCATTAGAAATTCTTTGATGTCTATCAATGGTCCCAAATTCGTACTGTAAAAAACGAATGCATAAGGCGATTTTGTAAGTCAAACATGATGCGTCAACCAGCATAAATATACTGATCCCTACCGTTTGGACTGGCTGGAACCTTCCTTGGGCTTGATCTGCTTGAAGGTTTGCACGACGACAAAACTTATAACACTATCAAGAATACAGTCATTAGATGAATGAATAGAAATAAAATGAACTTACAAAATAATACTAAACTGTTAAGCGACGCAATGGTCGCCCATCTGTATCCTTCCTACGATCCCATGGCCACAGTTTGAGTACTATCACATCCTCTGACCGGTTTGGGGCTAACCAGAACAAATTAGTTTTCTGGAGTATATGTGGAAGACTTTGGGATCGGGCAACCTCACAGACTACGGTTGGCCAGGGATTACCCTATAAAACAAGATAGTTATTTATATTTTTGTGTTATACGTTACGAATACGATTAAAAGTGCATGCCAGAGCATCACTTGGATGAGGAGATGGTACGGGGAAGCGATTAGGCACAAATGAAGCATCCGGTTGTCTAGCAGATTTTCGCCCTGAACTAATTAAATTCAACATAGTTATTATATATACAGTGCCCCCCAATAAATGAAGGACCACTTAAGAATTATTAAAATTAATCGGAAATAGTCTCTATATAT